ATAATAAAAATGAAAATAATAACAATAATAATAATAAAAATAAAGAATAATAACAATGATGAACTTTTTTTGACATTGGAGTCCGAGAAACTGCTGGCCGCAAAAAAAGCGAGGCAACTTGGCATTATTGTATTGTACTTTCGTTTTGTGGAACCTGGAACCACACGCATGCTGACCTCTTTGGTGGAGGCAACAGGGGGTGTTTGAAAGCGAAACAAGGAATGCGCTTTGCCATTGTTACTTTTTGTTACTAGGCATTGTATTTTTGGTTAAAATTCATACTTCAATTAGATCTAGACCTATAGAATCTAGATCTAGATTCTAGATTCTAGATCTTGTTCTATGCTATTATCAATTATCGTGCGTCATCTCTCAGACTTTTATTTTTATCAAGAGATATTATATTATGTTCAAATTGATAAACCGACATTGTTCGCTTCGAGTTAGTAGAGCATTGAAGCAGTCCTCATTCCTTCCACATTCGAGTTTCGGTGAACACCTTCCTTGTTTCAGTCCCTCTTTGACTTATAATACTCCTGCTTCATCGTTATTGGCATCATCTAGATCTAGTTGGTCCCGTTGTTCTCATTGTTGCGTCTCGGATACCAGATATTCCTACAGATTTAGACATCCCCAGCTTCGACGAGATTGTCGAGATCGCCCTTTTTCCAATATGAGTGAGACAAACAGCTTTCCTGCAAAGCAGATGTCCAAGGACTTCAAGGAGAGCCAAGGCTCAAGTCGAATAATCTGGATTGACTTAGAGGTGCTGGTCATGTGGGGCTGTACTAGATCTATAGAATTTTGTTTTGCAAGTGGCTATTCTCCGGCGACACGCCAGTCAATAAATCGATGGCTATTCTCCGGCGTCACGTATGATTGCACGTGTCGTTTCTCCTCAGCTTCCCATCTCCCCTGTCGGCACGTCCGTATGGCATCAGGGTCGGCATTTCTTCAGAATGCAGTTCACCATTGTGGACACGCAGCCACTACTCGCTACTAAATGAAAGCTCCAGTGACAGAAGAAGGAGGAATTTCTTTGTCAAAGGTGACAGCACCAGAAGCGCCAACAACCCTCAGTCACAACGAGAAGTACAAGAATGCGCATGATGTGGCACTGAACTCAGTTGCAACAATAATGGCTTGAACAATAAATGCTGACAGGGGAGATGGAAAGCTGTGGAGAAGCAGCATAGGCCTATAGATATATATATACAGTCGAACCTGTGTGAGACAGAATCACAATGGAGCCAGAACAAAATTCCGTCTTAGACAGGGGAATTTAAGGGGAGAAGGAGGTTGGGGGGGAGGGGGGTCAAAGGCCCAACCGGTGGGATCAAGGATCACTTGTCCGATCGGCAAGCAGTGGTCAAAACTTCACACCTCTCAATTGCTATCCTGTCTGATAATGACATGCTCTTATTTATCCAATTACCGCCAATGCTTGCTTTTTTTTCGTAGGATCACTTTTTGACCTCTCTATTAAAAACAGAAACGTTTGAACATCTCCTTTGCTTACCCTTAGCCCCACCCACCAATGCCACCCCTCACTGCCATCATTGTAACAACGATTCAAGGAATTTTTTTCTCGGCTGGCCGTATGATCAGGGCTGCCGTCTGGTCAATCTAATTTCACACCTCTGGCTTCTGGTTACTAAGGAAAGTTTCCGTGGTGGCTAGCTACTCGAGCCTCTCAGGGGCAGTCATGAGATTTCACACCCACACTACACTGGCCATCTGCATCGCTCAGGGCTCACATAATGGGGTAACATCTACCCCCAAATTGCACCTCTACTCCCTTTCCTCGCCCAGCGGCATGGCCATAGCGTTAAGTTTAGAGCCGGCCGAACTAAACTTGCGAGTTTTGTCTCGAATCAGGGCTGAGCGGGCTAAGCATTTTCCATCTTAGGCAGGTGAAGCCCTCGGAAGGGAGTGGATTTTTCTTTCTGTTTCCGCGTTGGACTGGTTTCCGTTTTATACAGGTAATTAAAGAGGAAAAAGGGTTCGACTGTTTATATGTGCAACTACACATGACGCCGGAGAATAGCCATTGAATTGATCTATTGATTGGCGTGACTCCGGAAAATAACCACTTGCTTTTTTGTTTTTCTCCCTCTCTTACCCTTACCTTTTCTAAGTTTATTTAATAATTGTATAATTATGTTTCGCTGTCCCTTGGTGTGGTATTATATAATTATTCGTAATTTGAGCCATAGATAGCAATATTATATCATTTTATGACTACTTTTATAAAGTAATATTTATCTTATTTAATTTCAGACTTAAAAAAATAATAGTGCACTTTAGAAGTCTTCTACAAGCCGACAAAACGCCTTTTTAAACAAATGTTTTAAAACCAAGTTTTTTAATTTATTTCTGCTACTGTATCGAAAGCCTGATCAGTTACCCTGCTCCCCCTCTGCCCCACGCACACACACGGAATACATGATGCCTTACTTTATCCCACCCTATTCATGCACTCAGAACATAATTCAGATGCTTCACCAACAAAATACAAAGGATAAGTTCTGGCTCATACATGCCGCCCGTACTCTTTTAAAGGCTTTGAATATGACAACGAACTGCGTAAATAATAAATATTGTAGAATGACAGTTGGTTACTTTAGCCTGTTCTCAAATTTCGCACAGTGGATATTGTGCCATCCATTAAGTTTAAGGCATCGTGGTGAAATCGGGCGCTCGTCAAAACAATGAAATCAAAGGAACTGTCATTTTTCTGACCAATGGGCAATTTTTTTCTAATTTTCTTTTTTTGTCTCTACACCTTTTTTTAAATGTCCTTTTAAAAACACATTTGTGTATGGATTTTACAGAAAAGCATTGATAAAGTTAAAGGCACAAAAAATGTAAATTTTAAGTTTTCAAGAATTCTCAGTCTAAGGAAGTTACCAAACTTTGGCGGCCATTTTCTTGCTAATTTTATCTCTGAAACCAGGCTACCCTGACCTCCTTCAATAGCTAATATTCTGACCTCTATTCTATATAGATGGATATTTTTTACACCAAAAGGAAGGCAAATGAACAGATGATACCAATAACCCGATATGCCCAAAAGTTGACAAGTACCTGATTCCACCTCGTCCTGACCCATATAATTTAGTACATTGGAACTTGGATTTAACGAGTACTTGGATTCAACGAAAGGAGATGGATTCCCCGGGGGTTTTTTTCTTCTTTAAACTAAATAAAAATAACCCGGATTCAACAAACATTTAAATCAGCAAGCTCGCCGTCAACAAGGTCACATCCAGGGTGAATAGCCCTTGCAGACGTGGCTTCGCTTATTTTTCTCCCATAATGAACTTGATCTATTCCCGCCGGCCGGAAACCATCCATTGCACCTGCAGCGTGAACCATCCCTTGGCTGATTGCATGCGACCAATCAGCTGCCTAATTCTTTCATACCAACACGCGCGTTGTTGGCACGTGTGCTTGTGTCGGGTGTTGAATGTCGCAGATACAAACGCGTCACAGTCTCGCCTCCTCACCCCCCGGCAACTGATCATTTATTACAATGATAAGCTAGTCTTGACGTAAATCTACGTAATGAATTGTGGGCTGGTCTATGGAATCAAAAGTTGCCGTATGCTTGGCTTTTCACAGCAACTTGACTTTTTGGGGAACAGTCGAGATGACACAGGCGTGCATTTGAACAAATCGTTCTTTTTTTGCTCAGCTCATAATATGCAGGCATTTCAGGCACCACGTGTTACTTCCCTTCATACATTGTTTGCTCAGTGCCAGTAATTATTATCTACACAAAAATCTCATGTTTGCTATTATAACGAACACTCGGATTCAACGAGATTTTAGGTCAGGCCCACAGACCTTGTTAAATCCGAGTTCCACTGTATTAAAGTAAGGTTTGAATTGTTTACACCTGAGCTAATCTGAACCTGATATTTTTTACTTCTCTTGTTTTTTTCCAGATGACTGGTTTAGATGTTGACAGCGACACAATTCTTGAAATTGCTTGCATTGTTACTGAAGGTGACCTTGCGCTTGTTGCCGAGGTTTGTGTTCATACTAATAAACCTGGTTAGAAATGTTTTATCTCAGATATTATGTGTGTCACTGTCAGTGTCTCTGCTGTGTTCTCCAGTTTTATGAATAGCGCAGTGTTCTGACACAGCAGCACTCGGGGTTTCAGTCTGTAGTCCTTTTGGTGATTTTTTTTTGTCTTGATTTTTTTGGCAACCTAAGATCGATAAATCAAACTGGTATCGTTCTAGTAATACGCCTTGTGCTACTTTAAATTTGACTATTTGTCTCAACTTTTGACAAGCAGCTTATTTGCATTCCTCAAACTCAATTATCATGTGAAATGAAAACCGGTTTTGTTTTTTGACAAAAAATAATAAATCTGTCATGATGCGCTGCAAATAGTTTGGATTTTTGCTTTCAGGGACCAAGTCTGATTATACATCAAGAAAATGAGGTCCTGGAGAATATGGGAGAATGGTGCACTGAACAACATGGAAAGGTATTATGAGTTGAAGAAGTGTCTTATGTGCATGTGTTGAAAAAATGTTTTGATGTATGTTGCCTGACTACAAATTAAGTAGCTTATAAACTACAGAGTTACCTTTGAAGTGAAAAGAATTGTAGTCAGAGTGAAATTAGTGGCTCAGTCGTGATATGAATCCAAAGGGACACCGTGACATCTGTGACTGCATGATTTATGACCTGTTGGGTCCTAATATAATACAGTAGTCTCCGCCTAAGATCCCGGTGCTCAGGAGCAAGGAAAATGCGGGATCTTAGGCAAACCGAGATCTTTTCCGAATGGCCAGGGGGAAGAATCCACAGTAACTCATGGTCAGGCCCATAATCTGTACATGTACAGTAGTCTCCGCCTAAACGCACGCCATACAAAAGCACGCTCCGCTCAAACGCACGCTTTCGTCATCTGACGGGTTTTTTACTACAGTAGTCTCCGCCTAAACGCACGGTGCTCGGGAGGGCTCCTTAGCGTGTGTTTGTACGGAGCGTGCGTTTACATCAACCTTAGCAAGGGGAGGAAGGGACGCAGTCTTCTCAATTCCTTATTACTCCACTGACCTCCCTTGGAGGAGGGGGTCATTTTGGCAGATAATGTGATGACTCGTGACTTTTTGTTATGGATTCCTGGACTGGGGTTAAGAATACTTGGGG